CATGTGTAATTTCCAGTGATAAAATGTGTGATTTCCAGTGATAATGTGTGTGATTTCCAGTGATAACATGTGTAATTTCCAGTGATAAAATGTGTGATTTCCAGTGATAATGTGTGTGATTTCCAGTGATAACATGTGTAATTTCCAGTGATAAAATGTGTGATTTCCAGTGATAACATGTGTGATTTCCAGTGATAAAATGTGTAATTTCCAGTGATAATGTGTGTGATTTCCAGTGATAACATGTGTAATTTCCAGTGATAAAATGTGTGATTTCCAGTGATAACATGTGTGATTTCCAGTGATAACATGTGTGATTTCCAGTGATAACATGTGTGATTTCCAGTGATAACATGTGTAATTTCCAGTGATAAAATGTGTGATTTCCAGTGATAATGTGTGATTTCCAGTGATAACATGTGTGATTTCCAGTGATAACATGTGTGATTTCCAGTGATAACGTGTGATTTCCAGTGATAACATGTGTGATTTCCAGTGATAACATGTGTGATTTCCAGTGATAACATGTGTGATTTCCATTGATAATGTGTGATTTCCAGTGATAACATGTATGATTTCCAGTGATAACATGTGTGATTTCCAGTGATAACATGTGTGATTTCCAGTGATAACATGTGTAATTTCCAGTAATAACATGTGTGATTTCCAGTGATAACATGTGTAATTTCCAGTGATAAAATGTGTGATTTCCAGTGATAATGTGTGATTTCCAGTGATAACATGTGTGATTTCCAGTGATAACATGTGTGATTTCCAGTGATAACGTGTGATTTCCAGTGATAACATGTGTGATTTCCAGTGATAACATGTGTGATTTCCAGTGATAACATGTGTGATTTCCATTGATAATGTGTGATTTCCAGTGATAACATGTGTGATTTCCAGTGATAACATGTGTGATTTCCAGTGATAACGTGTGTGATTTCCATTGATAATGTGTGATTTCCAGTGATAACATGTATAATTTCCAGTGATAACATGTGTGATTTCCAGTGATAACATGTGTGATTTCCAGTGATAACGTGTGATTTCCAGTGATAACATGTGTGATTTCCAGTGATAACATGTGTGATTTCCAGTGATAACATGTGTGATTTCCAGTGATAACATGTATGATTTCCAGTGATAACATGTGTGATTTCCAGTGATAACATGTGTGATTTCCAGTGATAACATGTGTGATTTCCATTGATAATGTGTGATTTCCAGTGATAACATGTATGATTTCCAGTGATAACATGTGTGATTTCCAGTGATAACATGTGTGATTTCCAGTGATAACATGTGTAATTTCCAGTAATAACATGTGTGATTTCCAGTGATAACATGTGTAATTTCCAGTGATAAAATGTGTGATTTCCAGTGATAATGTGTGATTTCCAGTGATAACATGTGTGATTTCCAGTGATAACATGTGTGATTTCCAGTGATAACGTGTGATTTCCAGTGATAACATGTGTGATTTCCAGTGATAACATGTGTGATTTCCAGTGATAACATGTGTGATTTCCATTGATAATGTGTGATTTCCAGTGATAACATGTGTGATTTCCAGTGATAACATGTGTGATTTCCAGTGATAACGTGTGTGATTTCCATTGATAATGTGTGATTTCCAGTGATAACGTGTATAATTTCCAGTGATAACATGTGTGATTTCCAGTGATAACGTGTGATTTCCAGTGATAACATGTGTGATTTCCAGTGATAACATGTGTGATTTCCAGTGATAACATGTGTGATTTCCAGTGATAACATGTGTGATTTCCAGTGATAACATGTGTGATTTCCAGTGATAACATGTGTGATTTCCAGTGATAACATGTGTGATTTCCAGTGATAACATGTATGATTTCCAGTGATAATGTGTGATTTCCAGTGATAACGTGTGTGATTTCCAGTGATAACATGTGTGATTTCCAGTGATAACATGTGTGATTTCCAGTGATAACATGTGTGATTTCCAGTGATAACATGTGTGATTTCCAGTGATAACATGTGTGATTTCCAGTGATAACATGTGTGATTTCCAGTGATAACATGTATGATTTCCAGTCATAATGTGTGATTTCCAGTGATAACGTGTGTGATTTCCAGTGATAACATGTGTGATTTCCAGTGATAATGTGTGATTTCCAGTGATAACATGTGTGATTTCCAGTGATAATGTGTGATTTCCATTGATAACATGTGCGATTTCCAGTGATAACATGTGCGATTTCCATTGATAACATGTGCGATTTCCAGTGATAACATTTGTGATTTCCATTGATAACATGTGTGATTTCCATTGATAACATGTGTGATTTCCAGTGATAACATGTGTGATTTCCATTGATAACATGTGTGATTTCCAGTGATAACATGTGTGATTTCCAGTGATAACATGTGCGATTTCCAGTGATAACATGTGCGATTTCCACTGATAACATGTGCGATTTCCGTTGATAACATGTATGATTTCCAGTGATAACATGTGTGATTTCCAGTGATAACATGTGTGATTTCCAGTGATAACATGTGTGATTTCCAGTGATAACATGTGTAATTTCCAGTGATAATGTGTGATTTCCAGTGATAACATGTGTAATTTCCAGTGATAATGTGTGATTTCCAGTGATAACATGTGTGATTTCCAGTGATAACATGTGTGATTTCCATTGATAACATGTGTGATGCTTTATTTCAACATATATCATGTGTGAAAATGTATTATGTCTCGTGGCATAAATGATAGTTATGACAATCTGTGTGATATAATGCGACATATGCAATGAAATATATGATATCTAGTGCAGAGGGTAGAAGGTGGGTATGGATGGTAGAGGATAAAGATAAACGGTAGGGATAGAAGGTAGAATTATAGGTAGAGAGTAGAGGTAGGGGGAAGAGGTTAGAGAGTAGAAGTAGAGGTAATGGGTATAGTAGGTAGGAGGTAGAGGTTAGAGGGTAGTGATATGGAGTAGGGGATAGAGGAAGGGGTAGACACTAGAGGGTAGGGGGTATGGAATCCTTCTGCAGAATTTTGCTAAAACGGAATCGCCATAGGTCTCCATTATCTGTCAACGGTTCAACATACTATATTAGGAGTTCTGGTAGGAGGTGTGCGGTACAGGATATGGAGAACAGGTTAAGTGTAAGGGTAGAGGATATATATAGGGGGTAGAGGTAGAGATTAGAGAGTAGAAGTAGTGGGGGTTAGATATTAGAGAGTAGGAAAAGAGTTAAGTGATAGAGGTAGAGGATAGAGGATAGAGTGTAAAGATTTGAGGATAGAGGGTAGGGAATAGAAATAGAGGGTAGAGGATAGGGGTATATTGTAAAGGATAAAGGGCAGAGAGCAGGGGATATAGGTTAGAAATATAGGTATAGGGTAGAGATAGGGGATAGAGTTTAGAAATATAGGTATAGGGTAGAGATAGGGGGTAGAGTTTAGACGGTAGGGATAGGGTAGAGATAGGGGGTAGAGTTTAGAAATATAGGTATAGGGTAGAGATAGGGGGTAGAGTTTAGAAATATAGGTATAGGGTAGAGATAGGGGGTAGAGTTTAGAAATATAGGTATAGGGTAGAGATAGGGGGTAGAGTTTAGAAATATAGGTATAGGGTAGAGATAGGGGGTAGAGTTTAGAAATATAAGTATAGGGTAGAGATAGGGGGTAGAGTTTAGACGGTAGGGATAGGGTAGAGATAGGGGGTAGAGTTTAGAAATATAGGTATAGGGTAGAGATAGGGGGTAGAGTTTAGACGGTAGGGATAGAGGTAGATGGTAGGGGTAGAGAAAGTGCGAAAAGGTGAAGATGATAATTGTTATAGGGAAAGGGCAGAGGTAGGGGATAGAGGGTTCGTGATAGAGGGTAAGGGGTATGGAAACATTCTGTAAAATTTCACTGAAATCGGTCAAGGTGGGTTTTTTTTTCAGAAATAGTAGCAAACTTAAAAAAATTATAAACACATGACGAAGAAAAGGGATCGCCATGGGTCGCCATGCTCTGTCAATGATTCGAAATACTGTATTTTGGGTAAGGGTAGGAGGTACAGAGTAGTGGGTACATATTAAACGGTAAGGGTAAAGGGTAGAGAGTAGAGGGTAAAGACAAAGGATAGAGGGTAGGTCTACAGGTAGAGGGAAGGTGTAGAGATTAGAGGGTCGGTGAATGAGTAGGGGGTAGAAGGTGGCGGTAGGGATATAGGGTAGAGGGTAGATAATAGGAGTAGATGTAGGGGCAGAGGATAGAGCTATAGGTAGAGGGTAGAGATAGTGGTAGAGGGTAGGGGTAAAGGTAGTGTAGGGGGTAGGGAGCAACGAGTAAAGGGTTGAGGATAGGAGGTTGGAGTCCAAGGTAGATGGTACAGGTTAAGGGTAAGGATAGGTTGTAAAGTTGTATAGCATACGTCACTTGAAGGTAAGGAAAGATTAAAATCCAAATCCGGACTACCCGGTTCCGGATTCTTTGACATATCTGGACAATATCCAGATTGTGTAATCGTTTCTCTTGTGTTTTTATGCAAAGTTAATAAATTAGATATCTACGGAAGAATATTGCAGGGGATTGAATCTGTTTTTACTACTGTTTCCGATTTCAGATCTGGTGCTATTAATCATTCCAAGCGTAGAAAGTTTAGGAGGTTGGAGTGCTTCTTTCGAGTTAAATATCTCTGGGCTGTGGATGTGAAGGAAGGAGTTTTGTAGATTTCCCTGTCTACTTACTAGCCTCAGCTGGTGGAAATCTGATTCCCTTTGTCAAGCAATAATGTGTCTGATTTGGAAGCGAAATGTCATTTCTCCCCAACGAGTACAGAACATTTTTTGTCACATATTTAAACGAATAAAATTAATATGCGATTTATTTAATGAAAGTTTTTTTAAAATGATGTCCTGTTTTATATACGAAAGCAATTGTACTAGTGTTACATCTGTGGTATGAATGTTTAAATATGTTTAGCAACATTTGTGATTCAAGATTGATATCCAATTGTTTATCTCTTCTCCAAGCGCTCCATTCTCTTCTTGGCAGGATTGATCTTTTGACTGTATATGGCTACTCCAAGAGAATCTCTGTATTCGCCGAGAGCCCGGGGTATATCCCCAACCATTTCATAACAGATCCCTAACAGGTTGTGGACTACCCAGTATAGACCGACTCCCTGGTTCTCGTCGTACTTCAAGTCATTCAGATAGCACAGTGTGGCATCGCATCCACTGGTGTCATAAAGTTCGTGGAAACACAAAAACGACAGGAATGCAGCATAGGGAAGCGGTGGAACGAAAAGACGCCCAGCACCCTCTTCGACCTCTAGTTGTAATTGGGTTGGGAAAAATTGTGATGCGTTCTCTGTAATCTTGACTCCTGATACAAACATTTCCTTACATTTCTTTTGCAGAGAGTACCCATGTCCACAATAAAGATTTTCGTATCTGTCATCCAAACGTATTTTTCCTTGACCAAAAAAAACTTTGAACGACGAAATCAGGTCTAGACATTGTTGTAGGGTTTTAGTGTAATTCCCTGTTTGGTAGTTGTATGTTGCCAGCATCAATAATCCCGGACTGTCACACAATGAGGCAAGCGGAGTCAGAAATTTCTTGCACTTTTTCAGAATTTGGTATCTTGTTTTGTTTCCGCTCACTGCTGTGTGTCCCTTAAATTGACCCATACCTAAGTAACTCAACGCTCGTACCACAGAAGCATAATGAATGAATTCATCCTCGTCTGATCTTGATTTAGACAGGAGTGTCAATGACGCAGGAAGAACGGCATGCGAATTCCGAAAACATAAAGCGTTTCTGAATATCTCCATATCGCATTCCTTTTCTAGCTGTGTTGCTGGAGGCAGCACCACATCCCATGCTCCATTCTGTACTCTGTTGACACGCTCTCCTACAGATGGCTGTATATATGTACCGACTGAAAGACATCCCCATTTCAAATCATGAAAATCTATGAGGAAACGAAGAAGTTTCTGTTGATTTTCACCATAAACTTTACCAAAGAACATGTTGTTTCTGTTAATGAAGTAATTAGGACAGTATCCTGCCCTCACCCAGGATATCAATACGTTTATACAGAACATGAAACATAGGAAAATATGTTTCTCCTGCCAAAAGAAATCGGGTGTGATTTCCACTGCATGAAATACAACAGTTTTCATAATGTAGGATGACAGGATTTCAGGTTCACCAAGTAGCTGCTTCAACATTCCAGATATCTGTTTGAGAAAGTACTTTAGGAGTCCGTATGTTAAAAATTGGACATATGTGAGAGAACAAATCAGTTTCCTTTCCGCAGAAACAAATGAAATCCTCCATGGTAAGAATGAGTCACCAGACGTTTTATCTCCTACAGGGACAAGATGACAGCCACCTCGTACTATTTGATCCTTTAACCTTTTATTCGGCCATCCGTGCAATCGAGGCCTATTTACCCACTCATCCGCTGTGTTTGGCCAGTTGTAACATGGAAGAGAATAGACAGTATCGCTATCACAATCGGTATTATTGTCTTGACCTGTCATTGTAATAGCTGGGCCATTAATATGTGTGATAAACTGCTCTTTACTTATTATATCGTTTTTCAAATGATTGTACATTTCACTTGATAAAAATTGTGCATCCTCCACTGGAACAATGGCGTTGAACATATAACCATCGACTCTTTGTCCCAAATGAGCTACTTGCAAATTCACATAACCAGGTCGGCTGTCAGCTGCTTCTCTCATCACTAACACTGTTTTACTCGGGTCTTCGGAAATAATGGCGTCTAACGTAGTATCAAAAACTATGTGTCCCAAATGAAATTCTTCCGAATTCACATAACCAGGATTGCTGTCGGATTCTGTCATAATTGTCATTGTTTTATTTCGGATGTCCGGAGGATTGTTTGAAACTTGCTGTGGACTGGAAACCACGGTATCAATATCCACAATCATCATGTCTTTGTCTGAACCCGCCATGTCTATCCCTTCAGCCCGACTTCCTGTATGAAACCGCGGCGTAATTGAATCCAGATTGTCGTAATATTCAGATGATATCACCAGCTTTCTTTTTAAGGCTACTAGCTCCCGGCCTCCTATAAAACGATCCATTACATGATAGAGAATCCAAGACTTCTCCAACAGTTCCTGATAGTCACACATATCGATGTTATCTCCGATATCCTGAAAATACAGAAACAATATTTTTATGAATGTGAAACTAAACAACACGAAAATACCAACATGTCAACGTAATCAAAATTCAAACTCAAATCGATAAAGCTAGGGCATAATATGAATAAAAGAAAAATTAATACAATGTCTCCTGCAAAAGTACAAGGAGAATATGATCAGGTGTTTCGGAAGAGGAAACGTATTCTGCTTCATCGACGACACCCGCCATGTAAACATTGACAATCCAAGTAAGTAATTTCATGTTCTCAATGAGAATAAGATATACAACAACGAAACCAACAAGCAAACTAATGAGCACCAGACGCAGCCAATTTCATATCACACAAAAAATATAATATTTCTCAATGACGACCGTTAACCCTAACTATACACTTTCAGTATAAAGAAAACGTGTAATAAGACAACAGAGATATACTAAGAATGCACTATCAAAAGACAAAGTTAATATCCAGTGATGTTTCTCCAGTCAAAGTGTGGTTCTTAAGAATTCGCCGATGTATATATAAACGAGTATGCAGTGTCAGAGAAATCAATGCCTTATTTAGTAATGGCAGATCACAATATTCTGATATTTTTCCCCTGATTTTTATTTGTAATACGGAGATTCTTTGTGTCATTAAGAAAACAAAGACCAATATATATATATATATAAATGCCTACAAGAGTTAAGAATGATTTTTATTTTTATTGAAAAAAAAAATAGATATTAGGCAGCAGGCTAAAACCTATATAAGCCCTCTCCATAGGGTGGACAAATGGATACATACATTCACTGCAACACGAGCTGACTTCTTTTGAGGTCAAATAAAAAACGAGTTACCTCCCCTTTATCGTCTGAACGAGAAACTAATCAACGGAGAAGTCGAGAATAATAATGGGACTCTGTTGGCGGGTTTGTCAAAACAGTATATTTTTGCTATCAGAATTTTCTGCCACCATTCTTTAAGTTTGGGCTTTAATGAGCTCTGCGTCATATTAACATCCATTAGCATTTACGAGCGTGCTTGGTTTCCGTGGTGGAGGAAAGCCGGAGTTGCCGAAGAAGGACCATTGACCTGCGACCAGTATCTGGCGACATCACTACTTAGGTCTCGACGCCGAGACGCAGAAGTGGAAGGTTAGGGTTAAGCTGAGACAGATAAAACGGTCAGACGCATTAACCACTCGGTCACCGCGGCCCAATTTACAAGCAGCTGGCACGCAGCGGTTAGAGTCTTGGACGCATGCGAATCGTCTTACCAGCAACATGTGCTTTAATGAGAAGAGATCAAGACTGTATGGTTCAAGGTAACATGTCTTTTGTAAAGCTAGTCAATTGCAAGTCGCTGTACGTCTCTGGGAGTTGTTCGACTATCACGGATATCTCACTCCGCAAGTTAACACTGCCATCATCGTCCCTATCGGGTTCCACCTTACAGCTACCGTAATAACATTTCCCATGACGTTATGGACACGTTGATTCCCATCCGAGCGGTGAACTCGAGTATCAGAAGAAGAGACGAAACAACCAGACGGCTACTTCTAGGGAGATATTTTGATGTTGTGGACATTCAGAGCCATAACTCTTTGGGATTTTACAGACAAGAGCAACTAAACTATTGCGCGTATCGTCAGTCCGTATCTAATCTTATATATGAAAAAGTCCTCATCGGGATCTTATTAGGAAGTGTTCCCTTTCCTTTATCACTTGTACTCATTTGAGTACATACTACTACTAGCTTGACAAATATTGTTGATGAATCAAAGGACGCTAACCCTTTTTGGGTATCTGTTTCACTTCCTGCGTATTTTTGTCATATTGTTCTCTGTGTAATTCTGTTTGTCCGTTGTGCCTTCCCTTCGTTTCATCGATTTTGAGTAAAGTTTGATATTTTATGCAGGTGATGACATTCCACCTGTGTATTATTCATTACTGAGAATTGTAAAATCGTTTCATTTTTAGAAAAAGTGCAATTGGATATTTATTTCAACCAATATGGATTTTTCTCTGTCACCCTTTAGGATACTACTATTCTTGAACTAGTATCATTACTGACGAGTCCTAGAAGGATGAACTATGCAATCTTAAATTCTTTGAAAATTGTAATATGTGATATTTCAAGTGATCAGACAAGACTGTAAATATCCTGCAAAATATATTTGAACATTTCTAACCTTGCAGCAGAGATGATGAAAATGAATACGAAATACACCAATGATAACCACTTCTCTTTTACAAAACACCAGTATGTCTAGAACTGCATAACAAACTGGAGGATATTACAAATAAGTTGCTCATGCACAATTCTTTATTCTGCTTAAATTTGATTCAAATTTAATTCAAAACCTTAATATTTTTAATTCCAAACCAAAATAATAGATATAGAAGTCAAGTCTAATAGAAATTATGTAGATTGACTCTCAATGTTCAGCTGGATCTGGATTAAAGACCATTTAAATTTCAGTCCAACTTTATGTCCTCACGAAGTGTCTACATGCTGATCATTGGGGTATGATCTTAGTCATTTATTTCGGTCTATAACAAGTTAAGTTTTTAAATATTTTGTTTTGAGACGTGCTCTTCACTTTAATATCGTATGCACAATACAGAAGCAGTTTTCTAGTGACGTCATAAATAATGTAGAAACAGACTTCTAGTGACGTCATGCACAATGTAGAAAGAGCTTTCAAGTGACGTTATACACAATGTAGAAACAGCTTTCTAGTGACGTTATACACAATGTAGAAACAGCTTTCTAGTGACGTTATACACAATGTAGAAACAGCTTTCTAGTGACGTTATACACAATGTAGAAACAGCTTTCTAGTGACGCCATACACAATGCAGTGATATTTTATTAATATATTTAACGACAATTATATAGTACGAAAAGATACCGTAATAGGGAAATATGAATGGAATTTCTAGGATGATCGATGAGGTGTGATGTTCGAGTAGTCAGTGGATCTGTTTAATACCCAACGAAAGAAACTTACCAGAATTATTTCAACTAAGGATCCTCCATCCTTTCCAGTGGAAAGTCATCAGAACTAGATATTATGAGTAGGACAGCGGTGAAATGTTCCCTCCAGCATTTTCTAAACGTACCATTCGTTATCATAGTGTGTTTAGAAATTTCCACCAAAGCTGATTATATCTTCATTATTTGAATTGAACACAATGTGTTACCATGAACATGTTGCCGACGCACTAAATCCCTCTGCGATAATAGTTTATATCTATCGTGTTCGCTAAATCTTCGCTAGTCCCATACATGTATCATTACACTTTACAAGTAAAATCTACTAGAGCCTGCCTGTCGACAAATGTATTTAGTATCCTCAGCAAAGTTTATTTCCTTCTTCCGTTTTTATATAAGATTAATAATATTTTAATATGAACAGGAAACACATTCAATCGTTCGTGTATTTTACTGGTCGGCATGTTGTTATTATCGAGGGACTATTCCGAGCCTGATATAAACATGCCAATAGTGGATACTAGGATTAAATTCGTACTGAATGGTCACACAATTACCTAGGTTGGCATCCTTCTTTGACCAAAAATTTTACTGTTAATCAAATTTAATTTTAACTTTTAATTTAATCATAGTATTTGTATGTGTATTTTATCATGTAAATATTGTTAATTTGCTTTAATTTCAAATAAAAGAACCTCTTTCTGGAAAAAAACATAACTAAGGATGCAATAATATGACCACCGTCAGAAAATACACTTTCTTTTAATATCAAGCAGCAAGTTCCCCTTTCAGCCTATTTGGAATATGATTTATCTACCAAAGAAACAATGTATGTCTGTAAGCCTAAATGAGGCCCGTTTCTTTTAGCCTAAACTTCGTACTAGGCTTATTCAGACTAATTCACATCATATAATCTTCACTGGTGCTCCGCTTACCTTGGGTTTTTTTTTCACGAATATTGTTGAGGATACTGTGTTCAGCAATTATAAACAACTTGTAACGTGGTACAGAGAAATAACAAACATCGTGGAGATTGTCGTGGATTTAGTTGTATTAATTCAAATGGCGAATCTTTTGGGTGTTTGTAATGGACCATTCAGTTTTAATTGTACTTATTGATAATGTTTTTCTTAACTGTGGAGCAACGAAACTCTATTGAAAAAGTAAATAATGTTCAGCTAACACGGCGTAACAATCCTTCATTCACATTCTTTTTTAAAGTCGTCACAATCCTTCATTCACATTCAAAAGTCGTCACAATCCTTCATTCACATTCAAAAGTCGTCACAATCCTTCATTCAAATTCAAAAGTCGTCACAATCCTTCATTCACATTCAAAAGTCGTCACAATCCTTCATTCACATTCAAAAGTCGTCACAATCCTTCATTCAAATTCAAAAGTCGTCACAATCCTTCATTCAAATTCAAAAGTCGTCACAATCCTTCATTCACATTCAAAAGTCGTCACAATCCTTCATTCACATTCAAAAGTCGTCACAATCCTTCATTCAAATTCAAAAGTCGTCACAATCCTTCATTTACATTCAAAAGTCGTCACAATCCTTCATTCACATTCAAAAGTCGTCACAATCCTTCATTCAAATTCAAAAGTCGTCACAATCCTTCATTCAAATTCAAAAGTCGTCACAATCCTTCATTCACATTCAAAAGTCGTCACAATCCTTCATTCAAATTCAAAAGTCGTCACAATCCTTCATTCAAATTCAAAAGTCGTCACAATCCTTCATTCACATTCAAAAGTCGTCACAATCCTTCATTCAAATTCAAAAGTCGTCACAATCCTTCATTCAAATTCAAAAGTCGTCACAATCCTTCATTCAAACTCAAAAGTCGTCACAATCCTTCATTCAAATTCAAAAGTCGTCACAATCCTTCATTCACATTCAAAAGTCGTCACAATCCTTCATTCAAATTCAAAAGTCGTCACAATCCTTCATTCAAATTCAAAAGTCGTCACAATCTTCAATCATATTCAAAAGTCGTAACAATCTTCAATCATATTCAAAAGTCGTAACAATCTTCATTCATATTCAAAAGTCGTAACAATCTTCGTTCATATTCAAAAGTCGTAACAATCTTCGTTCATATTCAAAAGTCGTAACAATCTTCGTTCATATTCAAAAGTCGTAACAATCTTCTTTCATATTCAAAAGTCGTAACAATCTTCATTCATATTCAAAATTCGTAACAATCTTCATTCATATTCAAAAGTCGTAACAATCTTCAATCATATTCAAAAGTCGTAACAATCTTCATTCACATTCAAAAGTCGTCACAATCCTTCATTCAAATTCAAAAGTCGTCACAATCCTTCATTCACATTCAAAAGTCGTCACAATCCTTCATTCACATTCAAAAGTCGTCACAATCCTTCATTCAAATTCAAAAGTCGTCACAATCCTTCATTCACATTCAAAAGTCGTCACAATCCTTCATTCACATTCAAAAGTCGTCACAATCCTTCATTCAAATTCAAAAGTCGTCACAATCCTTCATTCACATTCAAAAGTCGTCACAATCCTTCATTCAAATTCAAAAGTCGTCACAATCCTTCATTCACATTCAAAAGTCGTCACAATCCTTCATTCAAATTCAAAAGTCGTCACAATCCTTCATTCACATTCAAAAGTCGTCACAATCCTTCATTCACATTCAAAAGTCGTCACAATCCTTCATTCAAATTCAAAAGTCGTCACAATCCTTCATTCACATTCAAAAGTCGTCACAATCCTTCATTCAAATTCAAAAGTCGTCACAATCCTTCATTCAAATTCAAAAGTCGTCACAATCTTCAATCATATTCAAAAGTCGTAACAATCTTCAATCATATTCAAAAGTCGTAACAATCTTCATTCATATTCAAAAGTCGTAACAATCTTCGTTCATATTCAAAAGTCGTAACAATCTTCGTTCATATTCAAAAGTCGTAACAATCTTCGTTCATATTCAAAAGTCGTAACAATCTTCGTTCATATTCAAAAGTCGTAACAATCTTCATTCATATTCAAAAGTCGTAACAATCTTCATTCATATTCAAAATTCGTAACAATCTTCATTCATATTCAAAAGTCGTAACAATCTTCAATCATATTCAAAAGTCGTAACAATCTTCATTCATATTCAAAAGTAATGTTAACGTTAGTTTGTCTTCTCGGCCTTAGAAAAAACACGTAAAAGTAGTCGAATATCGTAAATAAAGAAAATAAAACATAACTACAAATGGCACAGAGAACTAAGAAATTTACATTTATGTTTAATGTCATTACCGTTGTTGAAACAACAATACATTCCTAGTCATCTTTCAAACTGCTGACGGCATTATAAACCGTTCTTGCTCAGTTCCGAAAGTTAATCGCCATAGTACTGAAATCTAGCGATTTTACGGTAAAACTGCAGATGTGAAATATGATAGGGGCTGTGTGGTTGAGAGATAACGACAAAATGTGTACAACTGTTGTGTTATTATATTTTTTTAGTTTTGTTTTTCACGTTTTTTGACATCGGCATGAGACTTTTTAAACAATGCCCTCTGACGAACAATTATGGCAAGTAAAGCTATTTAACCATTAACTGTCTGAAAATAAATGAAAGTATCGAACAAGACCATCATCGTATTGAAGATTTTTTTTGTTTTTTTTTGTTTTTTTTTTTTGTTTTGTTTTGATTTTTTTGTCTCTGCTACTGTCTGTGTGGTTATATACATATACGATATCATTGACAGATTTGTAATTTATCTAACTCGAAAATTTGCATCTAAATTGAAGAGGAAGGCGAATTCATACCGACCAGGAAATTCAGTACTTATCTCTCTTACACGTGGTTACACGTCCCTCCGTGGGCCCCAACTGAGGTTATTATTTATTTCAAATGCCACCGGTAGGATTCGAACCCGTACCCTTTGATTTTTGTGCGACGCTCAACCGACTTCATCTCAGGGATGTCACTGAAACTGTCTAATCAACGCTAAGTAGTTGCTTCAACTGACGAAACGACACCAGTTACAATACAACCGCTCCAGATATGGAAGGATTTTACAACAAAAAAAGTTATTTAAATAGTGTCTTATGGTTTTTAATGCAAATTTTCAACAATTTATAACTATAAAAATCTGGAAATCATTACGCTCCTGATACATCAAGAGGGATAAGTACGATCCGATACATGTGTCACATCCAGAAGTTTGGATAGATTTCCAATGAGGAGACTTCGAAAAATCCAACGTGATCGGAAAAAATAGATCATTAGATCTGGATGCAGAGGTGCATTGTAACTATAAAATAAATTACCCAAAATTCTCACCATAAAAAGTGTTTATCCTCACTTTATGCCGTGTGTGTGGTTGTTAGAGCCGAGTGTTGCTTCCCTTAGTTCAGCAAGAAAACAATGTCGTTGTTTGTGACAATTTTTAACAGAGCAGAGAGGTCCTTTCTTCCACCTTTTGAGAAAACATGGATACACTAATGTTGTGACAGTAGATATAACATGTGCCTGTTTTACCTGTGTTGTTTTCACCTGTTTACCTGCCTTCTTCCACATGACTTATTATCTTCTGAAATATAATGTAGTGTATTCCCACAAACTTTCATTTAGACTATGTTCTTCAATTCAAATATTTTTAAGTCATCTGAGACAAAGAAATGGGTGGTAAATATCTCCAACAAAGAGCTCACCAACAGCGAGAAAACATTACTCGCTAAGGGTATGAACTATGCCATCGTTCCAGATAAGATCCCAGTTGATGACTTTGTTGCAGCCACGGAACAAGCCTGCAAGAAACTAAACTTTGCGGAAGCTGACCAACTGAGATCACAGGTAATAGGGGTTTTAAAATCAACAAAATTACCTCAGAGAAACATGACCAAAGAAGAACGGGTCGCAAAAATTAGGAAGAGACATATCCATCACAATATTACCAGCTGACAAAGGAAAGGCAACAGTCGTCATGGACACCGACGATTATGAGGCGAAGGTCATGACAATGCTGCATGATAACAAGACATATGAACAGCTGCAGACCAACCCTACCAACAAATTTAAAAGACGCCTCATTTCTATACTGACTAGATTAAAACAAGAGAGCAAAATCACCGAAAGCCAGTATAGATATCTGTATCCCACAGCTGAAAATACCCCGAGAATATACTGCACACCCAAGATCCACAAGCAGGGGAACCCACTGAGGCCTATTGTGGACTACACTGGATCCATTGGTTACAACGTTTCCAGGTCACTAGCAGACATTCTTGAACCGCTAGTGGGGAAATCGGAACATCATGTCAGGAATTCTAAACATCTAGCAGAAGCTATGTCCACCATCATGATCCAAGAGGATGAACAATTTATTTCACATGATGTTGTTTCTCTGTTTACCAATACTCCCATTGATGATGCACTGAAAATCATTCAAAAACGCTTAGAGTCAGACAGATCCTGGCGTAAAAACACAAACCTCCATATCAAGGACATCATGGATCTGCTAGAATTTGTACTAACCACAACATATTTCACATTCCGAGGCAACATCTACCAGCAACGCTTTGGAACTGCTATGGGGAGTCCAGTGTCGCCTATTGTCGCCAATCTGTTCATGGAACATCTAGAACAACAAGCAATAGCCACTGCCCCCATAGATTGCAAGCCAAGCCTATGGAAACGATATGTCGATGACATTTTAGAAATAATCAAGAAGGGATCACAGAAAGATCTAACTAACCACATGAACACTATTGACACCACTAACAACATTAAGTTTACATGTGAGGAAGAAACCAATTGCGGAATGCCCTTCCTAGACACACTTATAGCCAGAAGAGAAGACGGAACAGTGAAGTCATTGGTCTTCAGGAAAAAGACCCACACAGGCCAATACCTCAACTTTAAATCCCACCACCCTTTACATCAGAAGTTAGGGGTCGTACGCACGTTGCTCAATCGATGTGAGACCATAGTCACAGAACAACAGGACAAAATTCAAGAGCAGAGCCACATCATGAAAGCAATGAAAAATTGTGAATATCCGGAATGGGCCCTTAACCGGGTACAAAAACAGTGTCAAAATAAAGAAAAAGACAGAAAAAGACCTATGAAAGATCAAAACAAAACAAAAATCCAGGTTGTCATCCCATATATAAAGGGTAAATCTGAAACCATCCAAAGGATATACCGCAACCATGGCATAGCAACAGCCATGAAGCCCCACAAGACGCTTCGAAATATCCTAGTCCACCCTAAGGATAAGATAACCAAAGAGAATGTCGCAGAATGCATATACAAGATCGGGTGCAAAAACTGTGACGCGTCATATATTGGAGAGACTGGAAGGCGATTCGGGGTTCGCCTTGGGGAGCACCGGAAAGACACCGAAAGACAAGAGGAAAAGAAGTTCACCCGATCAGAGAGGAAGCAGTCGGAGTCCCAGATAAACAAATCGGCAATCACTGACCATGCCATGCAGGAAAACCATGTGATTGACTGGGAAAACTCAAAGGTGCTCGATAGGGAGAACCATCTTCTGAAGCGACAGATCAAAGAAGCCATCTGGATACGCCGCAGCGGGGCAGTTCTGAACCGAGATGAGGGGGCTCATAGACTCTCGCACATCTATGACCAAGTAATAAAATAAGCGTAGCCGAATGGTTTTACTATTCGCTAACAGTAATTTCGGCACTTGTCAGCATGTCCGAAATCGACGCTATTCCACGACAACTCGTACACATATCACACCTTTGTGTACATGCTTTACTGGTCATTTGTCTGATGAAGGTGACAGCGTACGGATCGTACTGGTCACCGAAACGTCACATATTAAAAATTCCTGGTTGTGTATAAAGAATCTTTACATAATCCTTACTTTCCAACCTGACGAAAATGTTCAGTATTATCTCATAATGACTTATTGCGACCCCTTTTTGACCGGCGTCGTGCGTCGTAAACTTTAACCTTTTTCAACATATTAAAAACTTCTAAACATTTTTTTTAAATAATCATCCCATGGCTGAAGGCGCAACAATATTGTAAATAATATGGTTCCCAACCCCAAGGAGCCTGAAGGGCGTGACTGAAAAGAGTCAAATTGGCTGAAATTCCAAACATCTTCTTCGCAATAACCAGACAAGGTAGAATAAAATACTCTTCATTACATAATTACACAGGAAATAAAACAGACACTCCAAAAGGGTAAGCGTCCTTTGATTCATCAACAATATTTGTCAAGCTAGTAGTAGTATGTACTCAAATGAGTACAAGTGATAAAGGAAAGGGAACACTTCCTAATAAGATCCCGATGAGGACTGAATGTCCACAGCATCAAAATATCTCCCTAGAAGTAGCCGTCTGATTGTTTCGTCTCTTCTTCTGATACTCGAGTTCACCGCTCGGATGGGAATCAACGTGTCCATAACGTCATGGGAAATGTTATTACGGTAACTGTAAGGTGGAACCCGATAGGGACGATGATGGCAGTGTTAACTTGCGGAGTGAGATATCCGTGCTAGTCGAACAACTCCCAGAGACGTACAGCGACTTGCAATTGACTAGCTTTACAAAAGACATGTTACCTTGAACCATACAGTCTTGATCTCTTCTCATTAAAGCACATGTTGCTGGTAAGACGATTCGCATGCGTCCAAGACTCTAACCGCTGCGTGCCAGCTGCTTGTAAATTGGGCCGCGGTGACCGAGTGGTTAATGCGTCTGACCGTTTTATCTGTCTCAGCCTAACCCTAACCTTCCACTTCTGCGTCTCGGCGTCGAGACCTAGGTAGTGATGTCGCCAGATACTGGTCGCAGGTCAATGGTCCTTCTTCGGCAACTCCGGCTTTCCTCCACCACGGAAACCAAGCACGTTCGTAAATGCTAATGGATGTTAATATGACGCAAAGCTAAACTTAAAACCCAAACTTAAAGAATGGAGGCAGAAAAATTTGATATCAAAAATATACTATTTTGACAATTATTTGAATCGTTTAACATGAGTTCTGCTAGTAAGGTTCTGAAGATAGTCCCATTATTATTCTCGACTTCTCCGTTGATTAGTTTCTCGTTCAGACGATAAAGGGGAGGTAACTCGTTTTTTATTAGACCTCAAAAGAAGTCAGCTCGTGTTGCAGTGAATGTATGTATCCATTTGTCCACTCTATGGAGAGGGCTTATACAGGCTGTTGCCTAATACCTATTTTCTCAATAAAAATAAAATCATTCTCAAATCGTGAATTTATTGAATTATCTAACAAATGATAGATGTGTAACTCTAGCTAATTATCTTACTTGTATTAACTTATAGGTTGTGTTTCATTTAGTGCCAGTATAAATATCTCTTAGCGTAGATGTATATCTTTGTTTTCTGTTTCCTGCTCTTAATGACACAAAGAATCTTCGTATTACAAATAAAAATCAGGGGAAAAAATATCAGAATATTGTGATCTGCCATTACTAAATAAGGCATTGATTTCTCTGAAACTGCATACTCGTTTATATATACATCGGCGAATTCTTAAGAACCACACTTTGACTGGAGAAACATCACTGGATATTAACTTTGTCTTTTGATAGTGCATTCTTAGTATATCTCTGTTGTCTTATTACACGTTTTCTTTATACTGAAAGTGTATAGTTAGGGTTAACGGTCGTTAAAGTAATCTCATAGAGAAATATTATATTTTTTGTGTGATATGAAATTGGCTGCGTCTGATGCTCATTAGTTTGCTTGTTGGTTTCGTTGTTGTATATCTTATTCTCATTGAGAACATGAAATTACTTACTCGGATTGTCAATGTTTACATGGCAGGTGTGGTCGATGAAGCGGAAGAGGCATACATTTCCGGAACACCTGGTCATTCTCTCCTTGTACTTTTACAGGGGACCCTGTGTTAATCTTTCTTTTATTCATATTGTGAACTAGAGTTATCGAATTTGAGTGTGAATTATGATTACGTTGACATGTTGGTATTTTCTTGCAGTTTTGTTTCACTTGCAGGATATCGGAGATAACATCGATATGTGTGACTATTAGGAGCTGTTGGAGAAGTCATGGATTCTCTATCATGTAATGGATCGTTTTATAGGAGGCCGGGAGCTAGTAGCCTTAAAAAGAAAGCTGGTGATATCATCTGAATATTACGACAATCCGAATTCAATGATGCATGACGGGTTCAGACAAAGACATGATGATTGTGGATACTGATACCGTGATTTCCAGTCCACATCATGTTTCAAACAATCCTCTCGACATTCGAAATAAAATAGTGAGAGTGATGATTGAATCCGACAGCAATCCTGGTTAGGTGAATTTAGAAGAACTTCATTTGAGACACATAGTTTTTGATACCACGATAGACGCCATTATTTCCGAAGAGCCGAATAAAACAGTGTTAGTGATGAGAGCAGCAGCTGACAGCAGACCTGGTTATGTGAATTTGCAAGTAGCTCATATGGGACAAACAGTCGATGGTGATATATTTGGCGCCATTATTCCAGTGGCGGATGCACATTTTTTATCAAGTGAAATGTACAATCATTTGCGAAAAGAAAAGGTAGGAAAATTACAATGGATCACAAAGGTTAATTGCCCAGCTATTACAATGACAGGTCAAGACAATAATACCGATTATGGTAACGATACTGTCTATTCTCTTCCATGTTACAACTGGCCAAACACAGCGGATGAGTGGGTAAATAGGCCTCGATTGTGCGGATGGCCGAATAAAAGGTTAAAGGATCAAATAGTGCGATGTGACTGCCATCTTGTCCCTGTAGGAGATAAAATGTTTGATGACTCATTCTTACCATGGAGGATTTCGTTTGTCACCGCGGAAAGGAAACTGATTTATTCTCTCACATATGTCCAATTTTTAACATACGGACTTCTAAAGTAGTTTCTCAAACAGATATCTGGAATGTTGAAGCAGCTACTTGGTGAACCTGATTTCTTTCGGCAGGAGAAAAATATTTCCCTCTGTTTCATGTTTTGTATAAACATATTGATATTCTGGGTGAGGGCAGGATACTGTCCTAATTACTTCATTAACAGAAACAACATGTTCCTTGGTAAAGCTCATGGTGAACATCAACAGAAACTTCTTCGTTTCCTCATAGATCTTCATGATTTGAAATGGGGATGTCTTTCAGTCGGTACATATATACAGCCATCTGTAGGAGAGCGTGTCAACAGAGTACAGAATGGAGCATGGGATGTGGTGCTGCCTCCAGCAACACAGCTAGAAAAGGAATGCGATACGGAGATATTCAGAAAAGCTTTATGTTTTCGGAATTCGCATGCCGTTCTTCCTGCGTCATTGACACTCCTGTCTAAATCAAGATCAGACGAGGATGAATTCATTCATTATGCTTCTGTGGTACGAGCGTTGAGTTACTTAGGTATGGGTCAATTTAAGGGACACACAGCAGTGAGCGGAAACAAAACAAGATACCAAATTCTGAAAAAGTGCAAGAAATTTCTGACCCCGCTTGCCTCATTGTGTGACAGTCCGGGATTATTGATGCTGGCAACATACAACTACCAAACAGGGAATTACACTGAAATCCCACAATAATGTCTAGACCTGATTTCGTCGTTCAAAGTTTTTTTTTGGTCAAGGAAAAATACATTTGGATGACAGATACGAAAATCTTTATTGTGGACATGGGTACTCTCTGCAAAAGAAATGTAAGGAAATGTTTGTATCAGGAGTCAAGATTACAGAGAACGCATCACAATTTTTCCCAACCCAATTACAACTAGAGGTCGAAGAGGGTGCTGGGCGTCTTTTCGTTCCACCGCTTCCCTATGCTGCATTCCTGTCGTTTTTGTGTTCCCACGAACTTTGTGACACCAGTGGACGCGACGCCACACTGTGCTATCTGAATGACTTGAAGTTCGACGAGAACCACGGAGTCGGTCTATACTGGGTAGTCCACAACCTGATAGGGATCTGTTATGAAATGGTTGGGGATATACCCCGGGCTCTCGGGGAATACAGAGATTTCATCCATACCCACCTTCTACACTCTAAACTAGGTATCATATATTCCACGGTATATATTGTCACATGGCTTCATATATTTTGTCAAAGATCGTCATAAACCTTGTCGCATTGTATCACACATTGTCATAACTATCATTTATGCCGTGAGACATAATACATTTTCACACATGATATATGTTGAAATAACGCATCACACATGTTATCAATGGCAATCACACATTATCACTGGAAATCACACGTTATCACTGGAAATCACACATGTTATCACTGGAAATCACACATTATCACTGGAAATCACACATGTTATCACTGGAAATCACACATGTTATCACTGGAAATCACACATGTTATCACTGGAAATCACACATTATCACTGGAAATCACACATGTTATCACTGGAAATCACACATGTTATCACTGGAAATCACACATGTTATCACTGGAAATCACACATTATCACTGGAAATCATACATGTTATCACTGGAAATCAAACATGTTATCACTGGAAATCACACATTATCACTGGAAATCACACATGTTATCACTGGAAATCACACATGTTATCACTGGAAATTACACATGTTATCACTGGAAATCATACATGTTATCACTGGAAATCACATATGTTATCACTGGAAA